GTGATCTACTTCATGACTGCCCTGATCTTTGGTCATAATTGTGGCCTCCATTACAGTCGGATTAGCTGCAGTTTGGAAAATCTATATTGTGCATGCTTTTCCCATTCCATAGAGCCCAAAATGGTTAATGTTAATGTTTGGGAACAAAATATACATGATGGTGAGCCATCTGCCCTCAATTCTTTTTCCTGGTTGATCAGTGAAAAATTGATAATAAGCTGAAATGGGGTTTTCATAGTAGGGAGCCGAACCTCTCATCTCGAGGGTAGCAATTATATTGATTTCCTCTATTTGATCTGCCTGCAAAATAGAAAGATTAGATATGATTTTTTTTTTTTGTAGTTATCGAATCAATGTGCCTTAAGTAAGGCACATTTAAAATCAGGGGTGGGATTCAAAATTCCCAGCAACCAGTTTGCTGCCCAGTTGCTGGGTGGGCATAGCCAGGGTGAGTGTGGCCTACCGGTACTTCCGGTAGGGTTGTTTTTCACCTTGCTAAGGGTCTGGAGCAGTGGTGGGATTCAAAAACTTTTACTTCCAGTTCTGTGGGCGTGGCCATGTGACTGGGTGGGCAGGGCTTTTTTTTTGCAGCCCCCCCCCCCATTTTGGGGAGCTTCTTAGCCTCAGAAGAGCCTTGGGGGGGCGTTTTTGCTCCCCTAAGGCTCAGGAAGAAAAGGAAACGGAGCATGGGAGGGGCATGCAGCACCCCTCCAAGCTCCGTTTTGGGAGCTTACTAGCCTCAGAAGAGCCTCGGGGGTGTGTGTTTTTGCTCCCTTAAGGCTCCTCTGGGGCTCTGGAAGGCAAAAAATGGAAGGGGGGCTGAGCTCCTCCCTCCATTTTTTGCCTTCCTGGGCCTCAGCAAGGGGAATCCCGGAACAGCTGATCTTATCGACAGCTGATTATCGGGAAGGGAAAAAAAAATACCTTAGGCGAATGTCAGGCAGGCGGGCGGGGTGATCGAGCATCAGGCGGGAGAGCAACTGGGGGGGGCGTGGCCAGCCAGAACTTACTACCGGTTTGACGGCCCACTCCAAATTCTTGCTACTGGTTCGCCCGATGCGGTACGAACCAGCTGAATATCTCGGGCCTTTGGGAGGGTGAAAACAGAGTCCCCTAGGCTCTGGAGGCCCTCTGGAAGCTGGAAACAGGTCCGTTTCTGGACTTCCGGAAGGCCCATTTTTCCCCCTCCCGGAGTCTTTGCACAGACCCAGCACTTACCTCCATCGAAAATGGGTCACGTGGACACTCCTGGGAAGTGGGGAGCAGAGTGGGTGGGGCCAGTCAGTCAGTTCAAATACCGGTTCGGTGAACCAGATGCAAATTTAACATCTGGTTTGCCTGAACTGGTCCAAACCAGTAGAATCCTACCCCTGGGATTTAAAATGTAATTTCCAAATAAGGAACCATAAGAACTGTGGACAAACAGACACCAGCTCAATCAAAATAGGAAGGAACAGGAAAAAAAATGCATGCAGAAAGAAGAAAGAAACTATGTAAGGGGAATTAACAGAATTTCCCATTTTACAACTGTTTGTACTCTTAAAATAGCCATAACTCCAAGCCCTGCTATCTTGGAGTTATAGGCTCTCATCTAATCCTGAGCTGATTTGCTTAGCTCCTGTAAGGTTCAGTAAATTAAGGACGATTGTTTTTATCAGTAGTTTCATGAATTTGTTCAATTATCATACCCAATTTTTCCTCTGGGAACCCATCACAGGTTGCTATTTTAGAAACATAATGTGGACAGGTTCTTGATTGAAGCAAAGAGTTCATTCTGTGATTTTAACTTCCTTTCCTTTCCTTTCCTTTCCTTTCCTTTCCTTTCCCTTCTTACATTTTGTAGTTGTTTATTTGTTTAGCAAATTTTTATGGTCACCAATCTCAGATATGTGACTCCAAATAGTTGACAATTAAAAACAAAATACTTTAAAAGCAGTATAAAAGAACCAAAATGTTTAAAGCAATATTAATTCCAAATACACTTCAGTGGGTGGGTGGGTAACTATGGGCTAGAAGCCTTTGAAAATTGCCTTTGAAACATCATGTTCGGTCTTTATTAATTGTCATGGCAATTCAGTTGTCATCAGTGAACCAGAACTATAAATTTGCTATCTGATGAGGCTATTGTGGATGTTAATTACAAAAACGGGACTTGGCAAACCTCCAGGGTTTCATAAAAGTCAGTGATTGATGATAGAGATAATTAAAATATGGATGCTTCATTTTCCTTGCCCAGAAAACGCCACTCTCCAAAACTGCAAAAAAAAATTGCCAATGAACAAGAAAACATAGAATCAACAGAAATTAAGAACACATCAAATCAAGATGGCTCCCAGAGCCCAAACATAAAAAGAAGGAATAAATGCCCCCAAACAAGAATTTCCCACCCAACATATTGAAAGCATCAAGTTGATGAACACTATCAAATCTATTTTACATATTAAAAAGTCAGAAAACAGAGTGCTAAAATATTTGAATACCTAAAACCCCTACGATAAGGAATTTGGAAATCTGGGGTTCACTGATTTAAGTAAGGTAGACCCTGAGTTATGACCATTTGCTTAGTGACAAGAGTTTAATGACAAGAGTTTAGCTACAAGAGCAATCTTGTGTGATTCTCCATACTTGAGGAAAAATGCCAGGTGTATAAAGCAGGACGGCATATGTTTTCAGAGTATTGCAGTGTAAATTCAGTGCCAGAAAAGTAAACACAGATGATTTAAGCTTCTTTATAAACACATAAAGTAAATTTTACAATACCAGTTGTAGATTTCTCCAACGTGGAGCAAACTCATACAGAAGCAGACATGTTACAGGTTCAGAGCAGAACAGCAACTCAAGAGCTCAGAAACACACATCAGTTTCACTTTAGTTCAGCAGGCAAGCAAGCAAATTAGTTTCATTTTCAATAGACAGGACTCAGAGCTTAACATAGCTTCAGAGCTGCAGAGCTTAATATAGAGCTACGCCTAGGCTACTTCTAGTTTCAGTTTCCAAACAGTCTTCATTGGCTGACTTAGTTGCTATGCCTATTCATTGGCTGACCTTGTTACCATGCTCTATTCCAATTCATGAATGTACAGTATGCTTGATTTTCCCACTCATTTATCAGTTTGGTCTAATCCTACAGTACAGATAATCCTCAACTTGCAACTATTTTTTTAGTGACCATTCAAAGTTGCAGTGGCAGTGAAAACAGTGACTCACGACTGGTCCTTATTTACGATCGTCATAGCATCCCCCAGTTGTGGGAGCAAAATTTGGGTGCTTGGAAGCTAGCATGTATTTACAACAGTTGTGGGGTCACATGATGATTGCTGTTTGTGAAATCCCACTGATTTCTGACAAGCAAAGTCCCACGGAGGAAGCCTGATTAACTTAGCGATTGCAGCAAAAAAAAGGCCGTAAAATTGGATGTGGTCATGTGATCATATGGCTTAGCGAAGGAAATTCTGGTCCCAAATTTGGTCTTAAGTTAAAATTATTTGTAGATGATCCTTATTCTATATAGTACCAGTTGCATGTGTAATAGTGGGGCCAGACCATAGGATTTACAAAGAAAGATGAGAAAACCGTGATTGGAAGAATTGATGGGGAGAAACAGAACAAGAAGTGAAGCCAAGAAAGATGAAAGCAGCAGAACAGGAACAACACAATGTGGTCTCCCTGAATACAGATCAGAAGTGGGTATTCAGCAGGTTCTGACCAGTTCTGGAGAATCGGTAGCGGACATTTTGAGTAGTTTGGACAACTGGCAAATCCCACCTCAGACTGGCCCCGCCCCCATCTCTTCTCTGCCTCCCATCCAGTCCCAGCTGATCGGCTGGGTCTCCTTTTGTTGCCCTGTACAGGAGAATGGAGCTGGAAAGCAGGTTAGTGGGGTGGGGAGGGAATAGTATTTTGCAGTAACCTTCCCCCAGGAGTGGGGAGGGAATGGGAATTTTACAGTATCCTTCCCCTGCCATGCTCACCAAGCCACGCCCACCAAGCCACACCCACAGAACCGGTGGTAATATTTTTTGAATCCCACCGCTGGTACAGATAGTTCTTGATTTATGACCATAACCGAGCCCAGAATTACAGTTCATTAAGTCACTGCAGTTATTAAGTTTTGTGCCATTTATCACCTTATTGGCCACAGTTGTTAAGTGAATCATGTCATTAAGCAAATTCATCATATTTCATATTTCTCCATTGACTTTATTTATTGGAAACCAACTGGGAAGGTTACAAGTGTGATTAGGTTGACTTCAGGACAGTGCAAATAAATCCAGGCCAGTTGCCAAGTGCCCAAATTTTGACTACAGGACCCTGGGGATGCTGCATCGATCATAAGTGTAAAAAACATTTTTTTTCAGGGCCATTGTGACTTTGAACCGTTACTAAATGAATGGTAGTAAGTCAAGGATTATTTGTACAAAAAAATTCAACTAAAGTAGAACATGGCCATAAAATAAAGAAGGACTTTGAAATTTCTAAATGATAGCAAGGAAATAAATCTATGGGGTGCCCCTCTTCCCATGGTGCTTCTTATGTTAGTAGGTAATCCATTCCTGGCTTTTTTCTTGCTTTGTTAAACAAATTAAGAATGAATGAAATTTAGGAGGTATGTCATTTTGGAAGAGATAGCACTAGCAATAGAACTTAGATTTATATACTGTCCTTTAGTACTTTACAGCCCTCTCTAAACAGTTTACAGAGTCAGCATATTGCCCACAACAATCTGAATCCTTATTTTACTGACCTCGGAAAAATGGAGGGCTGAGCCAACCTTGAGTCAGTCAGGATCGAACTCCTGGCAGTCAGCAAAATTAGCCTGCAATACTGCATTCTGACCACTGCGCCACCATGGCTCTTAGAGGTGATTGATTGGGAGGTTTAATTGTTCTCATGAGAGGAGAGGCAGACATTTTCATGGAAGAAGCCACTTCTTATAAACATCACCCCAAAGACTCAAACCAATGATCCTTTATTGTTCTGTTTCTTTTTTTTAAATATAGTTTCCTCTTCATTGTCATGACCTCCTTGGAAGAGAAGACAGTGACGCTGATGAAGTGTCATCCAATGTGAGAAAGCATGCAAATACTCCATTAAACTCTTGGCAGGGAACTCTTAAGGACCTCTTAAAGCAGGGGTGTCAAACTCGATTTCATTGAAGGTCTCATCAGGGTTGTGTTTGACCTTGGGGAGGGGGCAGGAGCGTGTGGCCAGCTCGATGTCACTTGTGTTGGGACGCCTGTGGTGGCCTGAGCACTCTGACAGCAAAAACAGGCTCCCGAGTGCCGTTTCTGGCTGCAATGGCCCCCTGCAACCCTCTGCCAGCAAAAACGGAGCTCGGAAAGGCTACACACCGCTCTCCAGAGCTCCTTTTCACTGACAGAGGCTAGTCCTTTGCTGTTTCCAGAGCAGCCCCGCAGGACTGCTGAACTGGATCCGGCCGCCAGGCCTTGAGTTTGACACCCCTGGCATAAAGGGATCTATATTTTTAGGCTGTAAAATTCATGATTTGCCGTAAAAGCATTTGGCTTAAGCTTTTTTTAGCATTAGCATTAGATCCTACCATGTTATGCAACATACTGGGGAACTAGGGAAATCTAGTATTTACAGTTTTGGGTTGAGTACGTCAGTGTGCTTCCAGTGTGAGTCTTTAAAGTCTTTTAACGTTGTCTGTGAACTTTCTTCACCATGTGTTTTGGGGCCGTTTGGTATCTGGGGTGGGTGGATGTCCATCTTATTGCCATCTTGGGAATTCGATTATTCTTTGTACAGGATATTTGACCTGCATGTTGGAGTCTTCTACACGCAATTATACTATGTCATTTGCAGAAGAAACTCCTTTGGAGCACTTCTTCATTAGTAACACAGTCCAAATAGTGGATTTTTAGGATTCAACAATTTGATTTGTTGGAAGACGTTGAGTATTTTGTTAATACTTGCTGACGCCTCTCACTGGCATAAGTAGCATAAAGAGAGGCAAGCAAATGTAATTTAAGTTTCAGTGATATACATGACCTTAGCTGGTTGGGTGACTTTCTCTCAGCCCAACCCACTTCAAAGGATTATTATTGTGGTAGAAATAGGGAGAGGAAAGAATATGATTTATATTCAGCACCTTGAGTTATTTAGAAAAACAATAAAAGCAGAGTATAAATAAACACTTAAGTAAAAATCAAATAAATGGGCACTCATTTGCTGCCAGAGACACAGAAAGAAAACCATGTTCTTTTCCCCTCACCCTGAATTGACAGTAAAGCCACAGAACCGATAGATTCTCCTTAAGTGTAGCAGTGGTGATTTTGCTAAATTGATGCTGTTTGCATCCATAAACAGATCTTGCTTTGGTGTCATCAGAGAACGGTCTCCTTTAAAAACATTTTAAAAGATTTAAAAACAAAAAACAGGCTTCTAACACAAACCTCTTAAAGTAGAGATACTTTCTTACGTTTTCCACACTTTACGCTCTGCTCTTCCCACCCCAGTAACTTTGATGCAGACGGGATAATGTTCCCCCCCCCCCCCCCCAAATCCTGAAGCGTGGCTCTTGTTGGGCTTAGAGACTTTCGCGCACCTGGAGAATGGTTATCCTTTCTCTCGGGGCGATTCCCGTTTTCCTCTCTTTATAAAGTTAAAAGAGGAGCCTGCAGGATGTTCCTGAGCATCTCTAAGCAGACTCAGGTTGCTACTTCGTGCCCAGGGAACCCTCCTGGCTTCCCATCGGTATGCCCTGACATCAGACCGATTGCTCTCCTCGGGGAATTCAGAGGATACCCAGACACCGGTTCCCATCTGTTGGGGGAGCAGCATCGTCACTTCCTGGGCTTGAAAGCATTTTGAGTTTTTTTTTTCCTTCCCTCTAGTTTACCCCATTCTCAGACATCCCCCAAAGAAGATTATTATTTTTTTCTTAAGTGCTTTTCTGTGGTTATTTCAACCCAAGGTGCAGGATTGTTCTGAATCGTAAGTAATGCATGAGTCATCGGTATTATGTTTTCCTGCTGGAGGAAAAGCAGGCAAAACTGCCTGTGCCGGGGAGACATCTATATTTTGGAATAAGGGGTTTTGAAAGAGAGAGAGAGAGAGAGAGAGAGAGAGAGAGAGATCAGACGTGGGAAAGGGGTAGTAATCCTTGTGTGTTTTGATGAAGTGGATGGTTTTTGTTTGAGTTACAAGTCTAACTGGCACGGCGATGCTTTCCTTAATTACAGAAAATGAAAGGTTGCATGCATCGTGGTCTTGCCCTGGTGGTTTGCCACCCATAACCCCCCCCCCCTGCCCTTTTTTACAACTAGACCAAAAGATCTGACAGGGGACCCACGGGGAGAAGCAAAGAGAGGGAGCACCGAGTACTGTCTGTATGAAAACATTTTGATGTTCTTTTAACCATCTGTTCTCTGCAGTAGCATTCGCCTCGCTCTGCTCGCTCAGCTGGGCAGAAGCTGTCGGAGATTCCCAGCTAGTTGCTCTGTTTAAGAAGTATCTACCTAACCATCTTAGGTTCGGGTCAGTTGGGAGTTGGGAGGCTGAGAATTTGACTTTCAAACGTTCGCGCAGAATAAGCAGAATGGAACTTTGTGGCTTAGCAAAATTTGCAGGCTGGGCAAACTCAGCTGTAGCTGCAAATTTGGGGCAGGCTAAAACTACATGGAGGACAAACCAGCATCCTGTCCTAATGTTGGAGCGCTCTGGTGAAACCAGGGTTTGGGAGAAGACAGACTTGCCCAGATTGGCCTTGTGCAGCTATGACAGAAGTTCCTGTAGCCAAAAGCACACCTCACCTTTGAGGTTTTATTTTTATTTTTTTTTCATAATGGTGATTGATGCTCAGCTATGTCCCCTTCATACTTTCACACAAGTTTGGAGAACTTGCTGTAGTAGTGTTGGGGTTTTTTTATATATAGCATCACCTCAACTTTCTCTCTCCATTGTCCATTTCTGGGTGGGTATTTTAATTGAGCAACATCGGGAGGATTACAGACCCTTCATTATTTTTTCCATTGCTTTGTGGACTTGCTTCATTGGAGTGATTGCCTGGAATTCTTCATTTATTCTTGAAAGAGAGGATGGGAATTGGAGGGATATAAAGAGAGGCAGGGGGGAGGCAGGAGAAGAGTAAGAAACTTGCGGGGTTTGAACCTGGTTCTCTGGGATGGGGGCACTGGACCAAATAGCTATGATTAAGCAAGCCAATAGAAATAGGCCGGTCATGTTTCTCAGTCCTGACAAAATAGGTGACTTCAACTCCCAGAATTCCCTAGCCAGCCATCTCAGGAATCTTCTCCAACACCAACATCAAAGGCATTAATAATAGTCTTCCTATCTTGCTTCTTCAGAGTCCATTCTTAATTTCCATAGAGTGTTACGGGGAATACTGTGGCTTGTACAATTCTTGTTTTTTGTAGTATCATGGGATCAGAATATTTTTTTCTAGAGTCTCCATGGCCCTCTACCAGGGACTACCAACATCCTGCCAACAAAAGTGCGTATAGTCAAGGCTATGTTTTTCTCATTTGCAATGTATGGTTGTGAAAGTTGGACCATAAGAAAAGCTAAGCGCCAAAGAATGGAGGCCTTTGAACTCTGGTGCTGGAGGAGGAGACTCCTGCGAGTCCCTTGAACTGCAAGGTGATCAAACCGGTCAGTCCTAGAGGATATCAACCCTGACTGCTCTTTAGAAGGCCAGATCCTGAAGTTGGCCACCTAATGAGAAGGAAGGACTCCCTGGAGAAGAGCCTAATGCTGGGAACGATTGAGGGCAAAAGAAGAAGAGGGGACAGCAGAGAATGAGGTGGCTGGATGGGGTCTCCAAAGCAATAGGCGTGAGCTTAAATGGACTCCGGGGGGTGGTAGAGGACAGGAAGGCCTGGAGGAATGTTGTTCATGGGGTTGTGATAGGTCAGACACGACTTCGCAACTAACAAGAGCAAACCAAGTATTGGCCAGTGGCATATTTCTTGACTTCTTGTTCCTTTATTGTGGATGATTGATCCTACAAGGAAGAAGATATCCATTATTTCAATGCCTTCACTCTCTATTTTAAGGCTGATTGTTCTACCGGATGCCCTTATTTTGGCCTTCTTTATATTTAATTCTAGTCTGGTGTTTTTCACTGTGTTCTTTGATGTTTAGTACCAAGGCTTGCAGTCCTAGAATAGCAGAGAGTGCCCATTTCTGAGAGCAGCGAAATTAAGATAGGAATTCAGAGAAAGCTTGCCTTCAGGTAAATCTAAAGCACCTGAAAAGCTTTAAAATTTACTTCATCGGGTCAGGACAGATTATCTTGTTCTGCTATTCCTTTTTTTTTTAATTCACGGATAATGCCACTACATCACTGTGGCTTTTTAAAAGAAGCAGCATACATTCTGAGCTGATTTTCACAACCACGCTGGATTTCATTAATGAAAAATAAGTCTCTGGAGCAAAGATAGCTTATTTCTCTTAGTTCATTGTAGCCAGGCAGATAAACTTTTTATTCCCTTGCTATGCTACAGGTTAATTTGAAGCTGCTTTGTATATGGCTGTGTTCCGCAACCTTGGCATCTTTAAGAGGTGTGGATTTCAACTCCCAGCCAGCTATTGAAGTCCAGACCTTTTAAAAATGCTCTAGGCAGAGAGAGGAACACTGATACATAGAAAGCAGCACTGCAGAATGGAGCTACCTACCATCTGGCATGCAAATGGCACGAAGTGTTTTGGCTGAACCTTGGTTTATAGACTACATCCTGGACTTTGGAGGGGTGGGAACATAGCTTTATGGATTCCTTGTCGCAAGTTCTGATAACAACCTACATTTAAAAATACCAGAAGATTATAAATCAGGAGCTGTCCATCCTGGTTATCCACATGCTGGTTCTTCATGTAGAGCAGGGATCTTCAAACTTGACAGTTTTAAGACTTGTGGACTTCAACTCCCAGAATTCCTCCTCCAGTCATGTTAGCTCAGGAATTCTGGGAGTTGAATTCCACAAGTCTTAAACTTGCCAGGTTTGAAGACCCTTGATTTTAAAGGCTGTACATGAACAGCAGGTGGTAGCATTTAAATGATCTAGGCTAGGGCTAGGCTGATAGC